AAACAGGCAGGCCTACCCATGGTTCACATAGGAATGAAGGTTTTGGGCTATCCCATCTTTTTTTAGTTGGAGTCTTGCTCTGTTGCCCAGGCTGGAGTGCAGTGGTGTGATCTTAGCTCACTGCAATCTCCACCTCCTGAGCTCAAGCAGTTCTCCTGCCTCAGCCTCAGCCTCCCAAAGTGCTGGGATTACAGGCACATGCCAACATGCCCAGTTAATTTTTGTATTTTTAGTAGAGATGGGGTTTTACCATGCTGGCCAGGTTGGTCTTGAACTCTGAACCTCATGATCTGCCCATCTCGGCCTCCCAAAGTGCTGGGATTACAGGTGTGAGCTGCTGCGCCCAGCCTAGAAAAGCTTTCTAATCCACCAAAGCAGTGGCTGAATTCAGAGGAACATGAAATAAGTAACCAAACAGAGAAGTAAAATATATCAATCAGCCATGGCCTCATGTTTAGCTGGAGAAGGGGAAATGGTTGCTGCCTATACATCCTTCATTGTTGTCTCCTTTATTTAAATTTTAATTTTAGAGACAGGGTCTTACTCTGTTGCCCAGGCTAAAGTACAGTGGTGCTATCATGGCTCAGTGCAGCCTCAACCTCCTGGGATCAAGTGATTTTCCTGCCTCAGCCTCCCAGGTAGCTGGGACTAGACGCGCACCATCATGCATGGCTAATTTTTTTTTTTTTTTTAAAAGAGATGGAGTCTCACTATGTTGCCCAGACTTATTTGTGTATTTTAACTAATGTTCTCTTTTGTGCTTTTTCTTTACCCCATTACTATATAGATATCAGATACACAGATTGTATTGATAGTGGCTAATGTTACAATTTAGTTTATAGATGAGAGAATATCAAGATAAAAAATCATAACTGGAACTAGGAGAGGAATGGATGACATTTAAATATCTTGGGCTTAGAGCCAGATGTAGCATATTAGGGGAATGTGAGTTCATTTCTGGTTGAGCGGATAATTAAATGTATTTGAATTATGTGTAAATTTTGCACTTTTTGATATAAGAACAACAGATAATAGTATCAGTAGGTAATAGGATATTTTATTTCAAAAACAGTGAAGAAGCTGCTAAGCATAAAATTTGTCAAATGCTACCAAGATGATGAATGTGCAACTGTGAATGCCAAGAAATTTAAATTTAATTACATTCTTTATTATCTTTTCCTCAAAGGAAATATAGAATCCATTATAAATGTCCCAATTTATACTACAGTATTAATCTCAATCCTGATCATTACATAGTTACAGCATTTACCAATCTGATTTTATAAATCAACCAAAATTGTTAAATTAAGAAGAAATTTACAGATGCCATTTTTCCCTGTTACAACATATGGACAGGCCATCAAAAACAAAACCCCAAAAGAAGTGTATTTTATGCTAAAGTTACTTTCTGTCCAGGTCGAAATATTGTTCCACTTTGATTTTTCCTCTTCTTTGGATTTTGAAAGCTTTCATATCTGAAAAAAGATAATTTAATATGTGTAAATAGTACCATTACAAAAGATAATGGATTGCTTGCAAACTCATATTTTAAGAAATGAGGGAAATAACTAGAAAAAAAATGCCAGTCACAGAAATTAAAAGAATTCTTACAGATAAAGTTGCACTCCAATAGAAAATGGAGCAAAGGGGATGAAAAGACAAATTAGAAAAGATAAAATAGAAAGGACAATGAATAATATAAAAAAATTAACCTCGGCCGGGCACGGTGGCTCACGCCTGTAATCCTAGCACTTTGGGAGGCCAAGGCGGGTGGATCATGAGGTCAAGAGATCGAGACCATCCTGGTCAACATTATGAAACCCCGTCTCTACTAAAAACTACAAAAAATTGGCTGGGCATGGTGGCGCGTGCCTGTAATCCCAGCTACTCAGGAGGCTGAGGCAGGAGAATTGCCTGAACCCAGGAGGCGGAGGTTGCGGTGAGCCGAGATCGCGCCATTGCACTCCAGCCTGGGTAACAAGAGCGAAACTCTGTCTCAAAAAAAAAAAAAAAAAAAAAAAAAAAAAATTAACCTCTACACTTTTAATCAAAGAAATGTAAATTATTAAGATGTGATTTTTCTCCAATCAAAAGGGCAAAGTTTAGAAAAATACTGCAACACACAATATTAGTAGTGATAGTGCAATATATCTGGCATTCTCCCATACTGCTGTTGAAATATATATTGTACAGTATTTCTGGAAGGCAATTTGGCAATACATTTCAAAAGCCTTAAATGTGAGCTCCCTATTATGTAACAATTCTACCTCTATCCCAGTGAAACAATGAGATATGTGCATATATTCACAGCTGCAAGAATGTTTATTACCACATTGCCTGGGAGCAATTTAAATATCTAAAAATTGGATATTGTGGCATAGCTACACTATAAAATGACATTTAAAAACAAACACTTAAAATATAAAACAATTTTCAGGATGTATAGGATAAAGGGGGACTGCTATATAGCAATAGGTACAGAGTGTTCTTATCATAATAGGAAAAAGTATATAAGCATGTAAACAAATATGCTTTGGGAGGAGGTGGAGTTAGGCGAAATTTGTTTCCTCATTTTTCCTTCTGTTTTCTGATTCTTCTATAAGAAATACATAGAACTAATGTATGTATACATACATACTCTGAAGTACTGCAAAATTAGGTAAGAAATGGCGGCAGCAGCTTCTGAAGACCAGGAATAAACATCTCTTAAATTGAATTACATTGAATTATTGACCTAGAATGATTCCCAGTCATGGGTCTCAGATTCATAGGTGGCCATAAACTCAATTGCAAGAATCCTATAAATCCAATGTATAACAAATATGGTTTGCAAATGAATAAATCTGAATGTATTTAAATGTTATTGAGATTAATAAAATATAAATTATTTTTAAGGCAAAACAAGTATTTTATAACAAATTTTACAAATTATACATTAGAATCACTTTGAACTTTTTTTTTTTTTTTTTTTTTTTTTAAGATGGAGTTTTGCTCTTCTTGCCTAGGCTGGAATGCAACAGCACTTGGCTCACCACAACCTCTGCCTCCCGGGTTCTAGCAATTCTCTTGCCTTAGCCTCCCGAGTCACTGGGATTACAGGTATGCGCCACCATGCGTGGCTAACTTTGTATTTTTAGTAGAGATAGGGTTTCTCCACGTTGATGAGGCTGGTCCAGAACTCCCAACCTCAGGTGATCCATCTGCCTCCCAAAGTGTTGGGATTAAAGGCATGAGCCACTATGCCTGGCCACTTTGTATTTTTAATTTTCCTTCTTATTTCTTCAAAGTTACTATGTTTTTTTAAATTGAGATGGAGGCTTGCTCTGTTGGCCAGGATGGAGTGCAGTGGTGCGATCTCATCTCACTGCAACCTCTGCCTCCCAGGTTCAAGCAATTGGCCTCCTGAGTAATTGGGAATATGGGTGCATGCCACCACACCTGGCTAATTTTTGTATTTTTAGTAGAGGCGGCATTTCACTGTATTGGCCAGGATGGTCTTGAACTCCTGACCTCAGGTGATCCATCTACCTCAGCCTCCCAAAGTGTTGGGATTACAGGTGTAAGCCAATGTGCCCATCCTAAAGTTACTAAAATTAAATGAGTATTACGAATAATTCAAATATAATCAACTGAACTGGTTAATGAAAACTCAATTTTGAGTTCCGTACTTCTGACATTTTGGGATTTTTAAATGTGGTAGCTATGCACAGATTTTTTTTTTTTTTTTTTTTTTTTTTTT